TGCGACCCCGGGGGAAACCGTGCAGATATTGACGCCGACGTCGTCGCTTTCGTTTCGGAGATTTGTTGCTGCGCGTGGCGAGGTTCCCATCACCAGGGCTGGACGCAGCCCGAAAAAAACTGGCCAGGCCGGACACTGGGATTGGCTCGAAGATCGATCTCGAGAGGATTAAAGTCTTGCCTCTACGCCTCCATTCACCTCGCCACGACAGACAGTGGGTCCGTAGGGGAATGAGTCCTCGGGCGGTTCGCCGCTTCCTCCGCCCTCCGGCGACGTTCCCGGACCCCTGGGGCCGCCCAGAGACTTGCCCAGGCCGAACACAACGGTGGTCAGGGAGCCCCCGCCGTGTCCAGGAGTCTCTTCTCCCCCTCGGGACACGTCCTGCCCTCATACCGGACACTTGGACACCGGGCGGGCTGGCAGGAGGGCGCCCCACGACTCGGCCTTCGGCCCTCCCGAGGCACGGCCGGGCGCCCCCCCCTCGCGTCCGCGGCCGGACGCGGCCTGAAGACCTGGGCGGGATGGCGCCTCGGAGGGGCTTTTGCATCGAGACTATGCGAGAAGATGGGCTGCGCGCCGCCCAGCTGGAGCAAGGCCCGGCTGAGCGACGAAGGAAGACGGTCCCGTCTTCACCAGCATTGGCGCGTGAGCTGCCCGCGTAAGTTCGCGCGTAAGCGCCGTCGTCTCCACTGTGGCATGCCGCGCTGGCGGCCCGCGTAAGCCACCGCACAAGGTCGCTAAGGCATCTCGCGTTAGACCCATTCATTTTCTTCGCTCATATGGACCTCCCGGACATCCGACAAGTTTCCGCTCACAGCGTGGCTACCCAGAGGTCACGGGGGCCGACTTCTCATCCCGAGCAGCTTTCCGACGTCGCCGGGGCCCGGCCAGGGCCCCCAGAGGCAGACGAAAATTGCAAACATGGTCGTCGCTGTTGCTCCACGCGCGAGGATGTCAGAGGTACCGTGCGGAATGCGTGCTTAGCGCTTAGCGTGTCGCGCCGCCAGCCTTGGCCCATCACGCCTCGGCGCGACACGCTAGCCACGTCCCCGTGTCCTGGCGTCAACGTCCCGAGCCGTTCCCGGCCTCCTGCCCCACGGGGCGGAGCGACACGCCGCAGCATCTCGCAGGGTACGGCGCGGCACCGGGGCCGCCGCCATGGCACGCCGAGCGGCAGTTCCCGACCGCAGCCTGTCCCGAGAGAAGGGCCTTCGGCGAGTCCCAGGGGGCGGGCCCGAGCGGGGCATGATGATGTTGATGATGTTGCTGATGATGATGATGATGATGATGATGATGGTGATGATGCTGATGATGATGCTGATGATGATGCTGATGGTGATGATGATGATTGTGGTGGTTGTGGTGATGGTGATGATGATGTTGATGCTAATAATGATAATGGTGATGATGATGATGATGATGATGATGATGGTGGTGATGGTGATGGTGATGGTGATGATGATGCTGATGATGATGCTGATGATGATGGTGATGATGATGCTGATGATGATGATGCTGATGATGATGATGCTGATGCTGATGCTGATGCTGATGATGATGATGATGATGATGATGATGATGATGATGATGATGATGATGATGATGATGATGATGATGATGATGATGATGATGATGATGATGATGATGATGATGATGATGATGATGATGATGATGATGATGATGATGATGATGATGATGATGATGATGATGATGATGATGATGATCGGGGCATTGGGTCGGGAGCCCCACGCGGTGCGGTGACCACACCACGTGGTGAGTCAGTGGGGAGACTCTGGGTCACCTCGCGGTTCTGGGGCTGGGCTCGCTCTCCGGGGACGTCTCCGGCGGTCGGGGCCTCCGAGGTCCCGAGAGCCGCGCGGTGACGGACTGCTCGGTGAGATCTCTCAGGAGTTCGAAGTCGCCACGCGGTCGGTGCACCACAGGGCTTTGGGGCCCCAGAGGGCCCAGTGCAGTTCACCCCGTCACCCCGAGGCACCACGAGTGACCCGAGGACCGACCTCGAGGCATTTCGGTCTGGCCCCTGCGCCTCTGCACGCCTCGCCACGCAAGACACCTTGGGTCCACAGGGGGGAACGGGTCCTGAGGCGCTTCGCCGTTTGCTGCCTCCCCTTGGCGACCTCCTCCTCCTCCTCCTCCTCCTCCTCCTCCTCCTCCTCCTCCTCCTCCTCCTCCTCCTCCCTCCTCCCCCTCCTCCTCCTCCTCCTCCTCCTCCTCCTCCTCCTCCTCCCCCTCTTCCCTCCTCCTCCCCCCTCCTCCTCCTCCCCCTCCTCCTCCTCCTCTCCTCCTCCTCCCCCTCCTCTCTCCTCCTCCTCCTCCTCCTCCTCCTCCTCCTCCTCCTCCTCCTCCTCCTCCGCCCGTCGCCACACGGCTTCGGTGCCTCCCCCCCCGGGGCCCTCGTCTCGCTGAGGTCGCGGGGGTGGTGGCCGCCTGCGCCGCCCGACGCCGCCGCGCGGGGTGCCGCGGGGGCGCGGGCCAGCGGGCGGAGCGCCGCGGGGGCGAGCACCGCGGGGCCCCCTCGTCGGGGAAGAGGAGGAGGAGGACGAGGAGGAGGAGGAGAAGCAGGGAGGAGGGAGGAGGGAGGAGGGAGGAGGGAGGAGGGTGGAGGGAGGAGGGAGGGAGGAGAGGAGGGGAGGGAGGGAGGGAGGGAGGGAGGAGGAGGAGGAGGAGGAGGAGGAGGAGGAGGAGGAGGAGGAGGAGGGAGGAGGGAGGAGGGAGGAGGGAGGAGGGAGGAGGGAGGAGGGAGACTCTCTGGAGACTCTGCCTGATCGCGTAGCGATATGAATTTGAGGAAATTAGACCTCCGCCACCCCAGCGGGGGTGTTGTGAGCTCTGGTGGCCTTCTCAGCTCGACTGAGGGCCTTCGGCCAGAGCCCCTTGGAAATACGCTTGAGGTACTCCTGCCCCGAAGGGGTGAGCCTACCGCAGGGTTCCCCGAGTTTCCCGAGAACCAACTGAGCGTAAGCTCCACACTTAACACAGAACCACAATTTCAGCCCAGCGTGGAACCGAGAACGGTGGGTACTGTGTACAACCCCCCCCGCGACATGGACCGACTTCCCATGAGGGGCCTCCTTATAAGTGCCGTCTACGTTGTTAAGCTCAAAAGATTCGGTGAGGAGCCAACGAGACCTCGAGGCCTTGCTGGAGGAACTAAAGCACCTAGTGCATTGAGAGCCTGTGGGGTCAACAGAGTGCTGGGAGCCAAATAGGGCACAAGAGCGAGGGGCAGGCGGTCGGTCGGCCTTAGGCGCTACCCGCCTCTTAGGGCGATGCTCCCTCTGACACTGAAATTCGTGCTTGTGAGCCTCGAGAGTGTCGAGTGCCGTACGTAACGATCTCATGCGAACCTGAAAAGCTTGTTGTTCAGCCAGCGCTACCCGCTGACGGTGCTCAGGTGGCACGCGTGCTTCACTGGCGGCAATACCTGCGAGAGTGTCCGCGACGCAATTGCCCACCGCCAAAGATGAGGCAATCCTCCCTTGAATGACATCCTGCGGCTCGGCGTGAGAAGGTATCCAGATAACTGTGACCGACCCTTTGCGTTGAGCCGTCGCCTTCTTCAATCTAAGCCAAAGGTCAGCGTCACTGCCTGCGGGTTCCTGGATCTTGCCGTGATGGAAATTGATGTAACATGCTTCATTGTCGGTGAAGAAAACGATATCCTGGTCTGTGGCCTCCACTGTCGCGACGAGAGCGAGCAGCTCCCCCCTGGGCACAGTCTGGTGGGGACCTGGTAACGGTCCCCAGAAAGCAGCACGTATCTCCATGTCGTTGTCCTCGAGGCTGGTAAATATGGCAGCTCCGACACCTACCCTCCGAAGATGTGGGTTGTTGGTGTCCTGGCCGCCACTTGCATCGCCGAAAGCGTAGAGTGTGTCGACGGGGGCTCGTAAACACCGTGGGAAGAACTCCTCGAAACCATGGCAAGTCCACTGTTCGTGTTGTCACGGTTGTGGTACCTCCGTCCATGCTGCTGGCATTAGTCCCCTAGTCCAGAAACACTCGTACATGTCCCGCTGGGCGTAGGCCTCAGGTAGCAAATAGTTGGTGCCCTGAATGATGGGATTGTCTTGATTGCCTTCGCATTCCCAGGCTCGGTGGAAGTCGTCTTCATTGGCCAAACCGCACCTGGGGCACTTGGCGTCTACGTCTGGCGTCTTTGTCTCTTGATAGACTCGCTGTCGTGTCCACATAGCGCCCGTGGCGATGGTGAGAATCAAATTGGACAGTCTTACACCCTGTGGCATGCGCTCTAAGTAGGCGAGTAGCCTGCGGTAGGACCTGTTGTCAGCACCATGCTGCAGGCCCTCGCCTCCATGGTGCTTGCTGGCGCAAGTCCACAGTTGATGGCAGATGCTGGTGTCGATGTCAAGTAGGAGCTGATGCGGGATGTCGGCGCCGGGGAAACCAGAGAGCTCTGTGACGTCAATCACCCAAGAGTCGCCGCTGAGACCTGCTGTCTGGGGCATGTGCCATTGAGTCGGTCGTGCTGGGTCCCACCCCATCTGCATGAGGTAGTGGATGATGGTGGCTTGTGGGCCACGTATGTGTCGGACACGCTGCGCTGCTGGGATATGCTTGAAATGCTCGACGATCTTAGCCCACGTGCTGTTGATGGCGTGGTGGAGCTGCTGATTGGAGGTCCACGCAGTGAGCCATGCGATAACATATTATCGTGGCAACTTTCGTGCTGGGTCACGTTCTGCAGCCCTGAGGTCGAGGAGAGTGGTCAGACACCGTCCTCGAAGCCGTGGTCCGACCGCATCCCCTAGACGCCGTCTGCACGTGGTCATGGCCGTTCCAAATGTGCCGTAGAGTTGGTGGGCGTAGTTGGCTGCTGCGAGCCCACCCTGGATGGCCAGCCGAGATGTGACATGGTAGCGCTTGGTGACTCGTGCTACCCTGACGATCTTGGCATGCATGCTGCGGTGCCGTAGCCGTCGCTGTGTAGTAGTGGCACGCGGCTGGATGGGGTAGCCCTTCATGCGCATAGCCTTGGCTATGTACTTGGCGTCCTGGATGTGGGTGCATACTATGGCGCTCTTCTTGGCGATGCTGAGGCCGTAGTCCTGGAGCGCCATGCAGGTGTCGGTGAGAACGTGCACCATATCGGTGCGCAAGGCGCGTCGGCTGGCCTGCATGCGCTGTGACAGGTCATCGACCCATTTGCGGTGACGTGCCTGGGGATGGCACGTGGTGACATGGAGCAAGGCCTTGTAGGTCACGGTTTTGGCGAAACGCGTGCCCGATCGGAGCCCTTGCACCACTGAACGTGTAGGTTGGATGGCATCAGCGTAGGCGCCGCTCTGCATGAGCGCGCGTGGCGCCGTGCACTGCAAAACCTCAAGTCCCAGGATCTCGGGCGGGAAATTGAGCTCGAAGGCATCATCAATGAGGGTGGTCCAGTGTATGGAGTCATAAAACTGCGAAGCGTCGAGGAGGCTGTGAGCTTGCGTGATGCCGAGTTTGGCGGCCGCCTCCTCGTGGAGGTTGCGCTCGTAGGCCTCGCGGAACGCGGAGCTCCCCTTGGCGATGGCGTCCCAGTGGGCGAAGTAGTCCCTGGTCCAGGCCTGGATGCAGGGTTCCCTGATGAGGGACCAAAGACGAGCGATGATGGTCATGATGCCGAGTATCCTGTCCCCGTTGTCCTTCTTGGCCCTCATGACCCCGATGGTGCGAAGGAGTTGGTGAGGCCACATCTGCACGTGCTCTGCCATGTTGAACAGCTCGGCGAGCTCGCTGGGTGCGTTGTCTGGTAGCCGTAGTAGGTCGGCTGGTCGAAGTCGGTCAGCTCCCAAGGCGGTGTTGGCTTTGAGGCGCTTGATGGCTTGTCGCACCTCGTGTCTGGTGATGGGTGGCAGCGGGCACTCCTGGATTCGTTCGACGACGCGGTGGAAACACTCCTGCAGGCCGCACATGTTGGCGCCTCCCTCGGGTGCCCAGAGTCGCCTCCAGGTGTCGATCTTGCTGTCGATCAGGTCCTTGGGGTGCATGATGGTGGTGTCTTGGTCCCTGGTGACCTCGGCGGGTTGTGGCTGGGGTCGTAATGAGCGATGTAATCTACCTATGGCGCCGTCAGTAACTGACCAGTCGCGAAAATTGTGGATGGCACGCCGCATGGTCCGCTGCTGCGCCCGCCGTGCTAGGCGCGATGCTCTGACTGCACCAGCGGCGACCTGCTCAGCGCTGTGTTGCTGTATGTTGCCGAGGAAATCGAGCCACTGCGTCCAGCTGTAGCCGTCCTTGTCGAGTATGACGTGAACGGCCCGTCCGGGGGCGATTTGTACAGCCTTCCGATCCCTCGGCGCAGCTGCTGGAGCTGGAGGTGACCGTTGCCTCGCGCCCTGTGCTTGTAGATGCCCTGCAGCAGGGTGTGGAGCGTCGTCCACCACGTGCTGCTGCTGTCTGCAAGCGGGGAGATGCGCCGACACTGCAGCTCTCGAACAACTTCGATCTGATACTGCGGTCCCTCGGCGCGTGAGGTTCCGCTGAAAGGGATCTGGTGGTGCGCGCAAATGGAGGTCTCGACGGTCGTGACCCAAGAACCGTAAAGAACCGTAGAGTTGCCCAAGCTGCAGGGCGATGTCAGGTTTGAGCCGAAAGGCTACGGAGCCAGCAGCAGCAAGAGCAGGCCGCGAAGCTTGCGGTGGCAGGACACTGATTTGTTGCCTGTGGGCACTCCAGAGCTCAGGACTGATGTCGAATTCGGGGCTTCGAGTTCGGCACGGAGGCTGGGCCCCCTGGCTTGCGTCAGGGTCGCTGGGGGGGGGGGGGGGGGGGGGGGGGGGTTCTCACGCTGGGCTGTCAAATTACTATCTGTTAAACTTGACTGTCTGACTGTACTGGGTGGGATACAGGGTTGACTGTCAACAGAGGCAGAAACAAGCAGAGAGAAAACGTCCTTATGCTGTTGTTGCGGCTCGCCAGCAGGGCGGGCGGCGGAACAGGCAAAGGCAGCAGCATGACCATGTTCGCTGTGAGGCTCTCTGTTGGGCGGCGCAGTGCACTGCTGATTGGATGGCAAGGCCTGGCACTCCACTGCAGGGCTTGGCGACATGTCTTTTGTCTCGACGCGGGCAATGTCCGGGGCAGCGACAGGCGCATGTGGGCTGAAACTGTTCTCGTGAGCCCAGGGATCTTCTTCATCTGAGCTGTCCGCGAGCTGGGATTCGGGCACATCGCTATCGGACGTTTCGCCAGCACTGGTGGACAGCTTTGCAGGGTCATTGCCCTGAAAGCCTTGAGTGAGCGTCTGAAAAAGGGTCTGCCTGTTAGCCTCTGCCTTGAGTCGGGCTTCCTCCCTGGCAGCTCTGGCACGGCTGGCCTTGGAGCCAGGGGTGGCAACTCTGGGTGGCTTATTGGCAGCGGGGAGCCGCCTGGGCAAGCCGAGGATTCTAGTCAGGAGCTGGTCTTCTGTTTGAACGAGCCGAATTCGTAAACCTATGTGCGGTTTCCACGGTATGTCATGCACAGCGGAAG